ACACTGCAACGTCGGAGGTCCTGCAACCGAAGCCAGATTCCGTGACGCGTTAGGCTTGCAGCACCCCCGAGCACAAGAAAGCACCATACGCCTTCGACATGCAACGTGGGAGCTGTATATGATATGACATACAGGGCATTGACTCCCAAATTCAATCGCGTGCGCAATCATACGATGACCATACCGTGCAACAATAACTATGAGTGTGAGGAGCACGCCGATCAGGGAGAATAGCACTACACACCGTCCCATCTTTACGGGGAAGCTGACAAGGATAGACACCATCACGTCCAAACACAGAGGCAGGAGGCTCAGAAACTACTTCTGGCAACTGGTTGGGAATACCCTCTGGAGCCCAAGACGACGGTGCAGTCGAAACCGAAAACAAACTATTCCGCAGTTGTCGCATACTGATCCGTAGGAACTCCTCCTGCGCTTCCTCATCCTAAACAGCTTCAGGACACGCTCATTAAGATAATCGATCAACGCCCCTCCTTCGTCCAGAACGTGCCAGGTCTCAAGATCTTCCCAGAACCTTCGGTCCAACGGATGTGCCGAGGCAGCCAGACGACCAGAAGGGGTGAACACAGGATACAGGGGCCCTCGAGATTCTCCTCCATACGTGCCCAGCAGAGCCCCTAAGACTTCTTTGTGTCCCCCAGGATGTCCTACTAACTCTTGGGGTAGCCGTAAACGGCGAATGCGGGCCTCGTGGTCGATACGAACCAAGCGCCACCAATTGAACACCCCAACGTTTGTGAGCGAACGTGGGTGTCCAGAAGCATCACGATCATAAGCAGCACCTCGCATGGCTTTGCGTGCGTAAGCTGCGACAGCACTCGTGAGCTTTCCGGATTCAGCAGTAGACGGCAGGTAGGCCTCCAGACCAGCCAGCGCAGCATTATACACTTCGCACAGCAGGATACAACGTCGAAATCGATTTGGCACCCCAGAGAGATGCCAGAACGAGCCTAGTGAATGCCACCCAGCGCGAATCACAGCCAATCGTACCTTGAGCTCCTGACCGAAGTTCAATGACGAGCTCCCCTATCATGGCCCCAAGACTCTTAGACCAGCTGCGAAGGTTTCCCAGTAAAACGAATACCCCCAGGACGGATAAGCTGATAACCCATTCCACGCTCAAGAACCTTTCGCAGAGCATCTTGCTTGGTCACATTCAGTCGATGCCCAGCGGGTCCCAGACATGCATCTAGATCTTGGTTCGAGTCGGAGCTGGCAGTGGCAAGCTCATCGGCAGACGCGCTACGACCGCCCACCAGCTTCTTGGTGAGACCGTCGGCATACTCAGTAAGTCAGAGATTGACCTCCTCCCCTGCCAACGGCGAGCGAACGACGAGTTGATCCACATACGGGTCCCAGCGACAGACCGCCTTTGTGGCTGCCCCCTGCTTCTCCGCGCACTTCCCCTTCCGCCTCCCCGCTCTCCAAATGGTGGTGCACTTGCTGGAAAACAGAGCCCCGCACGCAGACAGAACCAGCATGCTGTCAGATAGCCCCAGGTTCTGGGGCTCGTAGAGGGGCGGCACCCACGGTGGGGTTAGGGAGCGAACCCAGCTGGATGCAAATTGTTTCCTTCCTCCAGGAGCCGACGAGAGCGATTCTGCCTGATTGAACGTCTGCCCCTACCCAACCTTCTTGCGTCCCCCCCGAGACGTCGGGAAACAAGTAGCACGCGTGCCATGGCTCCTGCACTAAAAGGGGGGGGGGAAGGAGGAGGAGGAGCAGGAGGAGCAGGAGGAGGAGGAGGAGGAGGAGGAGGAGGAGGAGGAGGAGGAGGAGGAGGAGGAGGAGGAGGAGGGGGGAGGGAGAGGGGGCGAGAAATCGGATAACGAGTGCCCACAGAGGGCCACAAGAAGGACGTCAGAGGTCGAACTCGAGGAGACAGGGGCGGGGGAAAGAGGCAAAAACATAAACATCGACTTTCGGAGGTTCGCGCGGATTCCCCGGATCGGCGACGGGTTTCCCTGAATAGCGCCTCCAGCGCCGCCCCTGACGCGCCCCTGACGCGCCAGGGAGGGGGAGCCAGCGCCGAGCCCAAGACATCCGCGCGGAGTTCCGAAAGTGTATGGTCTTCCTCCGACTGCGATTTATGACGTTCCAGCCGACTCGAGCCTCGACAACAGAAATGTATTTCTTGCACCAGGAAAGTGCCGAAACTTGCTGGTTGTCACGTGTCGGGACCTGGGAGGCGATGTTCGTTCGACACCGTTTCGATACTTTCCTGGCTGCCCGGGATTATTTCTGAGATGTGGCCCTTCAGTACGAAGAGAACACCAGGAGACTGCGGCCCGGAATGTTGCTGGGCGTGTCGCGCCGTGGGTTCTGGCTAGCCACACCTCGGCGCGGCACGCTGAAAGTGTCGCGCTCTGCGAACGTGAGCGTCTTGAGCTCTTCCCAGCCTCCCTCTGAGCCAGAGTGGTGGGGGCAGCGCAGAGGGGGGGCCAGAGTAGGTGCAATAGTATTTGCGGTAGTTGTTGCGTTGGTGCAGTAGTTTGCGGCTTGGACGCAAACGTTGCGCATGGATGCCATCGTGTACTTTTTCAAAAGACAATGATTTACGCCCCTTGCAACAGTTCGCGCCCACAGCGATCGTTCGCGCAGTATTTCGCGCAAGCGACACCTCCTTCGATCCAGTCGAAATGCCCGCCCCGCAGAGCGGAGCGACAAACCATCAGCTCGCAGGGCATAGCGTGCCGCTGGGGCCGCCGTCGCGACACGCTAGGCAGAAGTTCCCGATCGTAAAAGTGTCGCCCCTCGGCAGGCATGGCGATGCGCGACGACAAGTTCTGGCTCAACAGCGCCGCGTTCGTCGGCGAGAACCTGGCAAACCTGGTGCGGGGATTGCCTCTGCTGGGCGTCGTGCGCAACGGCACCGGCGCTGCCCGCATCGCGCTCGAGGCCGCAGGGGACATCTTGGCCTGAGGAGCGGGCATCTCAGAGGCGCCGATGCGTTGCTCGACGCTCGACTTTGTCTTCGAGATCGCGGTCAGAATTACCCCCGCCCCCCCCCCTGGACCTCAGACTTCACCCTGCGTGCCCTGCTCAGGCTCCGCCTGCTCTTCGTTCTCGACGGGGCGCTGCGCGCGGTGCGCTGTCGGCCTCGGCCCGAGACCCCGTGGCGTTGGGTTCGATACTCAATCGGCGGCGGGCGAAGGGGGGAAGTGAGCAGGGGTGGGCCTTCTCAGAAGGCTCGGAAGTCCCGGGGCCTTCTGAGAAGTTATCTATATGCCTTCCCCGAAGACATTGAGAACTTCTCAGAAGGCGCGAGGGTTTCTGAGAAGTCGCGCCGCCTTCTGAGAAGGCCTTCTCCTTCTCATTCCCCCCCCCTCTTGCTCACCGCCAAATCAACCAGCGCCGAGCGAGGAGTTTCCCTCCTCAGGCTGTGCAGGCTGGCCGCCCCCCCCCCGACGATCCTGTCTCGGGTTTCAAGAGACGGCGGCCAATGCCAACTGGGGTCAGCCAGAGCGCCGGATCTTGCAGGATCCTGCAGAGCCAGGGTTGCACTGACCCGGGCACGGGTGCAGGATCCTGCAGGACCCTGCAGGATCCTGCAGGGCCTGGCTGACCCGGGTGTGGCTCGACCCCGGCCAGTAGTCCCCCGAGCTGGGTTCGAGAATCAACCAGCGCCGAGCGAGCAGTCTCCCTTCTTGGGCTTTGCGGGTTGACCGGCGCCAGCCCGAGGATCCTCTCCTCTCGCCGGGCCTGCGGCGCGTCTCCCCCTTGGTGCACGGCCTGGAGCCAAGTCGGGCTTGTCCTTCGACAGGAAGGACACCCAAACATAGTCCGAAAATTCGCCTGGGGAGTCTTGTGTGACGATCTCTGAGCATTTTTGGAGCATGCTTGCGGGATTTTTTTTGATCTTCCGCCCCAAAAGCCCCCTGTAGAGTCGGGGGAGCGTAAGACCCGGGTTTGCCAGGACTCGGGTTCGCCATCGTTTTTTGACGACCGCGCCTCGGATTTTGACGAGGAGGAGTTTCGTGGGATGTCTGCAGCGGGCTCGGCCTCGTCATTTTTTCGACGACCTCGTCGGGGATTTCCGAGTCCCCTGTACCCAGGTCTTACGTCCCCCTGAAAAAAGCCCCCTGTAGAGGGGGACACGCCCGACTTGAGCCCGGAGGTCCTCGTTGCGGCCGCCGGTCCCGTGCTTCCCGCTCCTCGCCCCCGCTCGAGCCTCCGCCCCTCGTCGAGCTCTCCTCCTCCTCCTCCTCCTCCTCCTCCTCCTCCTCCTCCTCCTCCTCCTCCTCCTCCTCCTCCTCCTCCTCCTCTCCTCCTCCTCCTCCTCCTCCTCCCTCATCCTCCTCCTCCTCCTCCTCCTCCTCCCCCCCCCCCGTCCTCCGCCTCCTCCTCCTCCTCCTCCTCCTCCTCCTCCTCCTCCTCCGAGAAGTCCTGCAAGAGGTGCGTGCCAACAGGTTCCAGGCTGAAGGTGGGCCCGTCCCTCTACAGGAGGAGTATCCAAAAATTGTAAAAAAATGCTACGGGGACTGCTCGTTGCATATGTTTCCACCAGTTGGGAGCATTTTTTGCGTATTTTTTTGTATCGCCGACAATCCCCCTGTGGGGGGACACGCCCGACTTGATTCCAAGCTTTTAAGGTCTCCTCTACTTGCTGCGGTTCCGCCCGGGCTCCAGAAACGAGGGCCACTAGATCTTCGTCTGAAAGTCTTGGAGCGCATCCTCCCTGCGCCAGCCCAGAGGGGCAAATCATGAAGAGGGTGCCTTCCAAGACTTCACAGGCTTTGTATATTTCCTATACAGACAGCCCACATAGTAAGGATGAGCAACCTTCGCAATGGTACCCTGACATCCTTGCCGCCTCGGCCCATCCTTGGCCACTTTCGCTGGCCGCGACCCGCTCGAAAAACTTCGAAACGCCCTTCCAAGGCCCTTGCATCCTTATCTCGCATCCTTCTGAGACGGGCCGGCTGTACTTGCTGCTGTTCCGCTGGGCCACCAGAAACGAGGGCCACTAGACATTGTTCTGGAAGTCCTGGAACGCATCCTGATCCAATCCGATCATGCCATCATGCTCGCCTCAGCAGTGGCGCCGACCGGGGGGGAACCGAGCCGGGTTTCTGACTGGTCTTCGAATAGTTCTCAGGCCCCAGAGCGGTCACATGAGACGTCTCGCTTCCCTCAATCAGTTGGAAGACGGCCGCAACATGAGAACGCGGTCTTCCGTGGCCCAGTAAGCCACAACATGTAGCATCTGAGGGTGGGCTTGCTAGAGGACTGCTGGGGCCGTCTTCGTGCCCTCTTGGAAGGTTTCTCGGCGGCATCGGGGGAGTCTTGGGGCAGTGTTGGCGTGTCCTACGCAGGGCCTTTGTCTCGAGGGTGTCTTGGTGTCGCCTTGGGCTGGCCTTGGATCTCTCTGAGCTGTCTTCTGGCGGTCTTGATGCGATGCTGGGCCATCTTCGGACTATCTTGAGGGGCCGATGCGCCGTGAGGCGTCGATGCGCCGTCTTGGGGCTACGTTTCGGCCGCGTGGGTGAGTATTGACAGGTATATTGATGCCTGATGGGAAGAAGGCGATGCAGACAGTTGCTTTGTTCTGTGCGTTTGTCCTCTCAGAGGCATGCTTCCGCTCCCGAGTTGCGACCTGGTTGCTCTTGGGCAATGTTGATGTCATTGTGTGGACTCTTTGGGCCGTCCTGGGGCTACCTTGCTTCGGCCACCTCTCTTGGAGACATCGGAGACCGTCAGGGGGGCGTCGGGCGCCAACGGAGCTGTCTGCCAGGGTCCGCTGCCGTTGGTATTGTGGCTCAAGCCGTTTTGACCTTTCTCCAAGGCGGCCGGTGTGCAGCCTAGCGCCCTGCAGGCCCCACGCGTGTCCAGCCTCGGCCGGTACCATGTCCGACCCCTGGGGTTGCATCTGCGAATTCATCAGGTCTTAGGAGCAACGCTGGGGTGGAACAGGCTCTGGGGCGGAAGTATCGACCTGGAATCGGCGATATAGCGCCGATAGATCGGCGATAGGCCCCCGATGGCGAATCCACACGTTCCTGGGCGGGGCGGGCTATCGGGCCCCTATCGGCGATGATTTGGCGATGAAGGGTCGATGCATTGCTCCTGAGTCTATCCTCCCTAACGTTGCCCCTGAAGGTCCCAGAGCATGAACCTGCAGAACGTGATGCAGTCGCTGCAGAACCAGAACACGATCTCTGACCTGGACATGAGTGACAGCCTGCCGCAGCTCTCCTCTGGCGTGTCGCCGCTCCACCTGTTCATGTTCGTGCTGATGGCGGTTCTCAAAGAAAAACAAATGCATGAGCATAAACGTTCGGAGCTCTGCGCGGATGTCTTGAGTCGGCGCTGGCCCCCCCCCCCCTGGCGGCACCTGTGGCGCCGCCCCTGGCGCGCTCCGCGCGCCATCTCGGTGGTCCGGTTCCGATCCAAGAACTTCGTGCGGGCCTCAGACTTTTTTGTTCCATCAACGTGGAGGGCGTTTGCTGAGGAGTGTGCCTAGGAGGATTCCTTGTCTGATGGGGGCGGCGATGGCATCCGTGGCCAATGCACGATTGGAGTTCCACTGGCTTCCAGACCCTGGGTTCCTTATCCAATGGTCCCTGATCCAATCCCAGACCCCCAACTGCATGATTATTGCAGAACGCCGACCCCAAGAGGTCTCGACCCATTCGCCTGGACCGGTTTTCCATCCTGGGTCGCCTTTTGACGGCCCCGAGGGCCGGTTTTAAGGCCAACGGCGAGGAACCTCCCGCCGTGATTTCTTCACTGCCCGAAGGGTGTCTGGGCCCTTCGATCCTTGAAGGCCAGGCCCTCGCTGCAGCGCCTCAAGCATGGGTTGTTTTGGCTCCAACGACGCAGTGGGAAGAACCAGCTCGTGCGCCCTGCGCACGGAAACGACGTCCCACGACTGGCAACACAAGTACCCTAACCCTGCTGGGAGAGGGGACCTGAGCTAGAAGGCCCCAAAAAGCCGAGGGATAGGGGGTCCCTTCAGAAAATGTATCGAGCCCAACCACCCACATCTCATATCCCCACTGCAAAAAAGCACTCTACGATACCCCACGATTGGCATCAAAAATACCCCTGACCCCTTGGGAGGGGACCTAGGCCCTAGGTTAGGAGGGTCTGGGCCAGGATGGCCCCGCCGTAGCTTTTGTCGCTCCTCCAGGTGTGGGGGTTCCTCTACGTCAGCGGCCGACAGCGCCAGGCGGGGCCGCCCCGGAGGAGGGGGGCCGATGGAGGGAGCCGGTTGTGGGCCTCTCCTCGGCGGCGAGCGAGGGGGGGGAAGTGAGAAGGAGGAGGCCTCCTCCTCGTCCTTCTCCTCCTCCTCCTCCTCCTCCTCCTCCTCCTCCTCCTCCTATTCCTCCTCCTCCTCCTCCTCCTCCTCCTCCTTCCCCTCCCCCTCCCCTTCCTCCTCATCCTCCTGCCCTTGGCGGAAGTGAAAAGGAAGAGGCCTTCTCAGAAGGCGGCGGGGCTTCTCAGGAGCTCCCTGGCCTTCTGAGAAGTTGCTTGTGTGTTTCAGGGAAGGCTCAGGAAAACCTCCCGAAACCCAGGGGGCTCTGGAATCTTCTGAGAAGGCCCGCCCCCTCTAACTTCCCCCCCGCAGCCTCGCCGCCGACTCCCCCCCCCCTCTGCCGGCGGAAGCGGGGCAAGGGCGGCGCACCTGTCAGGGCTCGTCTCGGTTGCTCCAGTGCGAGCCGGTTCGACTTCGACGGTTTGCCCGATTCCGATCCGCTTCGGCTTTGGATGCCGATTCGTGGGGCACCGATGCCTCGATAGGGGGCCTTCCTGCTCGGCCGAGCTCCGCCGAGGCGACTCCTCCCGGCTCGGCTGCGGATTTCCGCCAGTCCGATTCTTGGACGAGCGAGCAACACACGCACATACCCACAGGAGCGTCGGAGGGAGGAGGATTGGCCATGGGCATGGGTGCGGGTTGCCGGACCCTGGCGGAGGCTCCCGTTCGAACGGGGACCCCCATCTGACAACACGCACCCATAACCCCCTCCGTCCCTCCTACGGGTATGGGTGCATGTTGTTCATTCGTCATCCATGTCGATCTCCGATGCGACGTATCGATTCGATTCTTGGCTCGGCTGCGAGAGCGGCGCACCGTGGGCCGAAGGCTGGCGGAAGTCGGCCAGCGCGAAAGCTCCCCCGATCCTTGAGGCCCAGACGTGCGATGTCCCGATTTTCGCAGTGCGGGGTTCAGAAGTCCCGACCCTTTCCCCAGGACCAGTTGTTTCATCCTGAGTCGTTTCCTGACGGTCCTGGGCCCAGTGCGGGCCCACAGGGGACAAAAACGACGCGAGCGTGTCTGGGGACGGGGGTCAATGCAAACCGGGTTCAGCAAGAGCGCCAGATCTTGCAGGATCCTGCAGAGCCAGGGTTGCGCTGACCCGGGCTCGGGTGCAGGATCCTGCATAACTAATCCTGCAGGATCCTGCAAACGCAGACCCCCAGACGCCATTATCTTTTCAGAGCGTCGACCCCCAGAGGTCTCGACCCACTCGCCTGGACAGGTTTTCCATCCTGAGTTGTCTTCTGACAGTCCCGAGGGCCAGTACCGGCCTCCAAAGGGCGAAAATAGCGAACAAGCGTCCGTCGTGGTCTTTGTCATGTCTGGAGGGGGTCTACGGATCCCCGAACGTAGGGCTATCTGACTGCGTGCGGGGCTCTGCGGCTCTCGGGCCCCGTCTTGGGGGGCTTCTGGGGCCGTCCTGGCAGCGATCTCGGGGGCCTCTTGGGGCAGTCTTCGAGCGCAGGGAGGCCCAAGAGGCGAGACCGCCCAGTTTCCTCAAGCATGTTGTTTGGCCTTGTGGGGCCCTCTTGGGAGGCCTCGTAGGGTCAGGCGCGGGGGTTGGTGTCCCGACCGCGGCCTCTCCCTTCTCTGTCTCGTCTGCCTGCTAGTCTGTGTCCCTTTCGTTGGAGCGGAAGGCGGCGGGTCCTTGATCGCTCTGCCCAGTTGGTCTCTGGCCGTATCTGGAGGGCCCGCCTTGAGGGCACTGGCTCAGGGGACGAGTCGGGCTTACACCAGGGGCAGACCAGGGGCCGTCCAGGCGTCCGCCCACCTGGGTTAGGTACACCTGGGGTGCCTGGCTGTCGTCCTGGAGTCGCCCTGTCTTTGTTTCAGTAAGTTTACGGCCCGATGGGACTCTCCCCAGGGCAGGTTTCAGTCTGCATACCCCACATATGGGGCGAGGCATGCCGTCGTCCTGGCGCTAGTTGCACCTGGGACGGCAGGTCTCGTCGTCCTTGTGTGGGCGGTCGATCTGTTTTCTCTTAGTGGCCACGCTGCCACCTTGCGTTTCTCGTGCATGGCGGTGCAGGTTACGCAGCCTGCCCTACTACCCGAGCCTTGGGGTACCGCCTTTTTCTTGTGGAGTGCATGGTGTGCGTGTGCGCGTGCGCGTGTTGCCCTGCACGAGTGTCAGGCACCCCGCCTCAGGGGAAGGAGCGCCGCACATCTCTTTTCTCCCTCCTCTCGGCGGTGCTGGTTACGCAGCCAGCCCTAGTACCCGAGCCTTGGGGCACCGTCGAATTGGAGGGATCTCAGGGCACTAGAGCACGGGGGTGGACGCAGGCCCGCCCCGACAGTGGCTCAACTTTCGGCAGCACGCTGGCTGCCCGTCGCCCCCGCTCGATTGCACAGTCTCGAGCGGGGAGACGCCTCACCCACTGCGCTCTCGCGCTCTTCATTTAAAAAGAAGGCCTCCCGGGGCGCCCTCGGGGCTTCTTCCCGGAGCTCTTACGGCCTCCGCGCCTCTGTGGCCACGCATCCTGCAACGGCACGGCGGGGGTGGGGGGGGCCCCACGCGGGCCTGACTGATCCGGCAAACAGGCAGACAGGCAGGCAGGCAGGCAGGCAGACAGACAGACAGACAGACAGACAGACAGACAGACAGACAGGCAAACGACGACAACGACGACGGCGGCGACGACGAGGACGAGGACGACGACAACGACGGACGACTGACTGACGGGCCTCCCACACGGGCCTGGCTGACCCGGGTGTGCACTGGCCCGGGTCAGTCTCAAAGCCCGACAGGTCCCGCCTGCGGGCTGCCTGCAGGCCCACTGCGCCAGAGCCGCCCGGTCGGCTCGCGCGCGCGGGCCTGGGGCCATCGAGAACACACAGACCCGTTCACCCTAAGAACACGAAGAGACGTGGCATAACTGAGGTCCCCATGCTTGCATTAGGGATCTGAACTGTGGTTGGTTGGGCTCTCGACACGTCTGCTGAAGAGGCCCCCCCATCTCTCGTGTTTTTGTTGGGCCTCCTGGCTCAGGTCCCCTCTCCCAGCAGGGTTCGGGGTACCTTTGTTGCCAGTCGTAGGGTATCGTTCCCGTGCGCAGGGCGCACGCGCCGGATCTTCCCACTGCGCCGTTGGAGCCTATGCAGCCCATGCTTGAGGCGCTCCAGCGAGGGCCCGGCCTTCAAGGATCGAAGGGCCCAGACCCCCTTCGGGTAAGAAAGCAATCGCGCCGGCCGGGCGATCTGCAGCATGCGTTGTTCTAGGAGGAGCTGTAGTGAAAAGTGTAGGGCGCGTTATGGTACAAGTTGCAGTGTCGAATGCCTTGAGAGTTGGGTTGGGGTCTGTGCGGCAGTTGGCAATTGGTCGTGTGGTTGGCATGTCGGTCGGAACATCTGTGAAAGTTGTGTTGTTGGCAGCATTGGGAAGTACAGTAAGGGCTGCACTAGGACATGTGATATAATGTATGCCATCAGCTGTAGTAGGACTTGCATCATAATATGTAGTGAGAGCTACGCGCGTTGCTATAGCGGAAGCTGTTTTATGACCTGTGTGAAGAGTTGATGTCTGAGTTTTAGCCGGAGTTGTAGTGAGAGTTGTAGAAGGAGGTTGTAGGGGACTGTAATCGTGGTTGTAGAGGAAGCATAGTACGGCGTGTTTCAGGAGTTGTAGTAAGCGGCGGTAGTAAGAGCTGTAGTGGAAGCGGTTCTGCTGCATGCAGTGGGAGCTTCAACAGTGATTGTGGTTGTGGCGGCGTCGAGGAACGGCAGTAGGAGCTGTATTAAGATCTGCGGTACATCATGCATCAGGTGATATAGTGATGGTTGCGCATTGTAGTATGAGATGTTAGTTGTTTTATTTTCTATTGACCCAATGGTTGTCTTACAGTTGTTGTGCCTTGTGTTATTGTTTTGTTTTCCAGCGCCATCCTCTACTTCCCCCTCCTCCTCACTCCTTCTCCTGTTACTCCTCCTCCTCCCCCTCCTTTTTCTCGCCCTCTCCTCTCACTCCTTCTACTCGTCATGAGGAGGAGGAGGAGGAGGACAACGAGGAGCAGGAGGACGAGGAGAAGGGAAGTGATAATAATGATGATGCTGCTGATGATGATGATGATGCTGATGCTGATGTTGATGATGCTGATGCTGATGCTGATGCTGATGCTGATGCTGATGCTGATGGTGATGATGATGATGATGGTGGTGGTGGTGGTAATGATAGTGGTGGTGATGATGATGATGATGATGATGATGAGGATGAGGATGAGGATGATGATGATGATAGCGATGATGATGAGGAGGAGGACGAGGAGGTGTTTCCGCGCGGACGTCTCACACCTTCCAACTCAATCCTTGTACGGCTACCTCGGACATCTATCAATCGTGGGAAACCAGGAGAGGGAGCAGTAGGGGGAAGCAGCAGGCGGGGGAGGAGGAGGCCAGCGCTTGTGCCAGCAAGGTCGCCGACAAGCCGCGCAGTCCCTCGTCGTCCGGGTCGGCGCCGCCTCCCGGTGGCGGAGAGGGAGGCGGGGGCGAGGGCGCCTCTGGCGGCGACGCGGAGCTGTTCTGAGCTGCCTGCTCCCCTCCCACCCCACCCCACCCCTCTCCTCCTCCTCCTCCTCCTCCTCCTCCTCCTCCTCCTCCTCCTTCTTCCCCTCCTCCTCGTCCTCCTCCTCCTCCTCCTCCTCGCACACGTCAAGTCTCCCAAGCGGGACCGTGTTCCCCGCACCGCCCACTTCAAGTTGCGATCATGTTCGTCCGTCTCCCCTGGCCCCTTCCTTGATTCCTTCCTCCCCTTGCCCCTTTCTCCCCCCATTTTCTGCCTGCCGACCCTCTTCCTTCCCTGACTGTCCCTCTCCCTCCCCACCCGACCCCCCTCCTCGCTATCCGTCTTCCTCCTCATCCCACCTTCTCCCCGCCCCGGTTCTTCCTTCATGTCGCTGTATCATCCCCCGCCCCATCCCAGCACGTTATTTCACCACCCCACCCACCAGTCTCCGCCTGCCCTTGGCAGTGTGCAGTGTGCCATACACGCCATGTGAATCTACCATTCTCCGCCTGCCCTTGGCAGTGTGCAGTGCGGTGGTGCTCCCGCCCCTTCCGCGTATCGCGCTCACTCTCTCTCACACACACGCACACAAAGGAGTTCACCGTTTGATATATGTGTGTGCGTGGTGTCCATCGGACCGCTTCTCGCTTCTGGTCCTCCAGATATGGCGCTCCCACAACACCTGGCACCGCTCGGACGTATGCATGTTTTGCCGAGCACTATCGAGGAGCGTCCTGCATTCTCGAGCAAACGAGCCACGCACAACACCGAAACATGCACGGGGAATGGACGTCGGAGCGATGGCAAGGTCAGCAATGGCCACATATCGCAGTTGGTGTTCTGCCCTCGTCGCTCGAAGTGGCGCTCTCGCCCCAACGTGGGCCACGTTTACTCTCCTCCGCCTTCCCCTGATCCACCTGCTCTTCCGACTTCCCACTCCTCTCGCTCATCCCTGCTGATCCTCCTCATCATCCTCCGCCTGCAATGCACAAAAGCACCACGGATTCTGATCGCGCGGCAAATGGGGTGTCAGATTTTGCAATTGCGAGTCGGGAACCACGGTCCTCTAGGATACCCCAGTCGGCGGACAGGAGAGGATCCGGCGCAGCGAGGGGCTGGGCGGGAGGGGCAGGATCTCAGATGTGGCGCGACGCACTTGGCTTGCGTCCTCCCCCTCTCCCTCCTGCTCGTCCTCCTCCTGCTTCCCGCTCCCCCCCCCTCCCTCCCTCCCTCCAGCCCCCTGCCATCTCTGGACCTGTCCACGGGGTCGTTCGGGCCAGATGTTCCAGGAGAGTCCGACCTTGGCCACGAGGGCGCCCCAGAAGGCCCCAGAATTCTCGAGAACGCCTGACCATCCAACTCCGAACCTCGCCCCTTTCGCCCTCCCTTCCTCCCGCCCTCTCCCTTCCCCTCCTCGCTCTCGTGCTCAACCTCGTCGTCCTTCCTCTGCTGGCGGCGCGGATGCCTCGGCTGCGGCGCGGGGTTGCCCTGTGCCGGCCCCATCACTGTACATAGAACCGCGGTTTCGGAGCAAGACTGCTCCTCCGGGCCCCAGCAGGCCCCAGTGATCTCGAGGAAGGGTGAGGAGGAGAAGGAGGAGGAGGAGGAGGGAGAAGGGGGATGCAGAGGGAGAAGGAGGAAGAGGGAGGAGGACGAGGAGAGAGGAGGAGGGGGTAATTAGGAGGGAGGAGCAGGCAGAGAGGAAGGCATGATCAGGAGGGAGAGGAGCAAAAAGGAACATGAGGGAGGAGGAGGGGGAGGAGGACAGGATAGGACAGAACACTTCGAGCGGGCAAGGCTGAGCCTTCCGGCTAAGAAGGTTAGAGCGCAGGTCCTGCGCATCCCAGCGGCACAGGGCCCCCTACCAGCCAACAAGACGGAAAGCCCAACCTCCGAGAGAGAGGGAGAGACGCCGTCCCTGCGGCTCCGCACCTCGCACGCCTGCGGCCCGCGCCATGGACCGCACAGCGCGGCGGAGGAGGGGAGGAGGCGACTCTTGGCCTCCCTGGATGGGGTCGGAGCAGACGGGGTCGGAGGATCGCGCCGCATCGCAGATGCATCGCCGATGCGGCTCGACGTGAAGTCTGATTTCCTTCACGTCGACGTCGCCGATGCACCGCCCTTATCGACGATGCATCGCCGGTGCATCAGTGATGCATCGCCGATGCACTACGGATGCATCGGTGCTGCATCGGCGATCTGGCGCGATCCTCCGACCCCAGCTGCTCGGACCCCATCAGGGATGCCTCTACGCACCCCACGAGCGGGGGCGGCGCAGCGGCGTGCCCGAGGGCGGCGCTGTCTGACGAGCTGCGCGCCGTCGCGGGCTGCCCCCCTTGCAGCGCTTCTTCCTCAAATGCTGTCGGCCAGATCGACCATCGCGTTCTGGGGACGTTGGACAGCTGTCAGTGCTGGACGAGCTCGGGAACTCCAGGGGGCCCACCCTTTCCTGGACCTCGAGGCTGTCCTCCATCCTGGCTCCTGGCGCCACCTTCTTGTTGTCCCCCCTTATCGAGGATCTTCTTGAGGCGCGGCGGCGGCAGGAACAGCTCCGGAACCACGAGGAGCGGTTGCAGCATCAGCAACAAGAGGCGCAGCAGGAAGGTCGGGGAGAGGCGCACCAAAGGCCACATGTTCCCTGCCCTTGCCGTGTCCGATGACATTGCCCTTCGTCCGTCAAACCGTCCTCGAAACGGGGCCCACCACCCGGGCCTCGGCCATCGCGTGCTCTGGACGAGAGCAGCCAGGAGCTCCAGCACAACCAGGGGGCTCAGGAGCTCCACGGAGACCGTGAACAGCTGCCGAGAAGGTGAGCGTTTTTTGTTCCGGCGTTTCGACATTGGGCGGAAAAGGGGGGGGGAAGGGGGGGGGGTCTGGCTGCGGACCTCTGCTTGATGCGACTGTTTGTGAGAATGCTGCCTCTGGGGGAGACTCCACCCGCTCGAAGCAAGCGCCAAGAAGCAGCCAAGATCTATTCCAGGGGGGGGGAGGGGGGGGGGCGAGGGCCGTCGCCGATCGGCAAAACAATTCATAAAACCACGCCCACCAGCTCAGGTGCCTAGCGGACGCGAGCAGTATGCGCAGCTCTCCCCCTCCTGCTTCAACACGTTGGGCCCGCGCCGCCGCTCGGAGACCTCCGAGGCGCCACCACGATCCGGGGCGGAGGTGTGGTGGGCGGCACCTGCTGCTTGCTTTGCCTGCCTGGATCCCGCACTGCTTG